CTCTCAGGACAACCTCTTCAAGGACGACTCGGACGTGGTCGCCATCGCAAAGTCGAAAAAGCTCAAGCAAAAGATCAACCGAGAGAGGAACAACGACAAGAAGAAGGGAAGGACCAGGCTCCCAGCCAAGGAGGAGGCCAAGAAGCCAAAACTCGACTACAACAGGGTTGAGCACCTCAACTACAAGCGCCTTCTACCAGGTGCCAGGGTCCTCTGCTCGGTCCTCGCGGTTCATCCTCTTGCCGTCGTCGTATCCTTGCCAAACCAGCTCCTCGGTCACATTCCGGTCACTCAGATCAGCCCACAGTTCACCGAGAGGCTTCAGAGGGCTGCTGACGCTTCCGATGACGAGGAGATGAACCAAGAGTCCGATGATGACGAGGGGGAAGGGGAAGGAGAGGAGGATCGCCAAAGGTCCAACCAGAACAGGGTTCCAGAGCTCCGCGAGATTTTCCGTGTCGGCCAGTGGATCAGGGCCAGCGTCCTGGCTGTCCACTCTGCCGGCGTGACAAAGGGGACGGGAGCAGGGAGGGAAGGAGGCGAGTACGAGAAGGAGAGCAGGAGAGTGGTCCTTACCATGGCTCCACAAGTCGTCAACGAGGGTGTCAGTGTGTCCGACCTCTTGCCAGGTGCAACCCTCGCTGCTACCGTCTCCAGCATCGAGGATCACGGTTACCTTCTGGACTCTGGAATCGACGAGCTTTCGGGATTTCTGAGCTACAAGGAGGCCGCCAAGCTCGCCGAGTTTGAGAAATTCAAGGGTAAGGGCCTTCAGGTCGGTCGTGTCGTCGAGACAAGGATCACGAAGATCGCCGAGAATCAGAGAACATTTGAATGCACCATAGACCCTGTCTCCGTCAAGGATTCCGTTGTCAAGGCGGGCCCGGGTATCACGGCCATCGTCCCCGGTATGCTGGTCTCCGCTTTGGTCACCGCATCGCTGCCATCCGGTCTCAACGTCAAGCTCTTCGGGATGTTCGATGCGACCATCGATCGATTCCACCTTCCAGCCATCCCTGAGGGGAAGGACGTCTCCGATGTCTACAAGGAAGGCTCCAAGCACAAGGCAAGGGTGATCTGGGACCTCCCGACTCCGGAGGACACGGGATTGGACTCCAACGCAGAGCTTGCGGACGGCGACAGGAAGTTTGGACTCAGCATGGCACCTCAGGTCGTTAGACTTGAGCCTCCTTCGACCGAGGAAGGAGAACTCCTTTCTGAGTCTTTCCCGATCGGCACCCAGGTGGACTGCACGGTCGTGAGGACCGACAGCGACTGGGGCCTCACATGCGCAATCAAGGGGACCGACATCGGAGGCTTTGTCCACATTTCTCGTGTCGCCGATGAGCATATCACCGCCTTGTCGGCCAACACCGGTGCCTGGAAGGTCGGAACCCACCACGTCGGTCGGGTGATTGGTCACGCCCCCACGGACAAGATTCTCCAACTCAGTCTCCAACCCAGCGTCCTAGAAAAGAAATTCATGAGGGTCAGCGAGGTCGAGGTCGGAGAGATTATCAAGGCTACCGTCAAGAAGGTCAAGCAGGATGCCATCTTCCTTCAGCTCAACGGAAACGTCGACGGTGTCGTGTTCGCGCTTCACTTCTCTGACATCATCCTCAAAAACCCCGAGAAGAAGTACAAGCCAGGGGTGACCGTCAAGGCCCGCGTGCTGAGCGTCGACCCGGGCAGGAACCGGATCACCCTGACGCTCAAGAAGAGCTTGGTGGATTCTGACCTCCCGGTCGTTTCCTCGATCCAGGACGCAAGGGTGGGCATCGTGACACACGCCACCGTATCTAGGTTGATGGAGACCAGTCTCCTTGTGGACCTGTACGGTGGATTGAGGGCCCTCGTGCCAGCTTCAGAGGTCTCGGAAGCTTACACCACCAACCTGCGTGAGAGCTTCTTCGAAGGGAAGGTCGTCAAAGTAAGGCTCACCAACGTGGACTACAACACGCACAGGCTGACGGCGAGCATCAAGCAGGCCTCGCCTTCCTTCCTCGCCCGCCTCAACGTGGATGCTGTGGAGCTTGGCGAGAAGGTGGTAGCTCAGGTCAACGCTGTTCACCAGGACGTTGTGGTCCTCACGCTCCAACCTTCCGAGATCCGTGCCCTGGTCTCTCTGGCTGTCTTGTCCCAGCTCAGAGCCACCAGCATCGACGATCTGAGGGAGAGCCTCGAGGAAGGCGAGGAGATCAACGATCTCATCGTCGTCTCTAAGAACTCGGAGAAAGGTTTGGTGATCCTCGGAACAAAGCTCAGGAGCTCCGGACCCAGCTCGGGTCCTTCAGTCCTGGTCAAGGCCGGAGATTTGGTCAACGCGAGGGTCATCCAGCGCAACGATGACCAGCAGGAGTGCATCGTCATGATCCAGAACAGATGCAGGGGCAGGCTCCACCTTACTGACTGCTCAGACGACTTCTCCGACCCGGAATCTGCTCGACTCCCAGAGCTAGATACAATGATCCAATGCGTCGTCCTCGCCGTCCGGGGCAACGGAAAGAAAGCTGATGTCAGCACCAGGCCATCTCAGATCGCCGCTGCCAAGGGTGAAACAATGGAAGCCAAGAAGGTGGAGGATAGGCAAATCTCCAGCGTCCAGGACCTCAAGAAGGGAGAAAAGTACAGAGGCTATGTCAAGACCATCACCGACGCGGGGCTCTTTGTCAACCTCGGCAGGAGCGTCACGGCCCGAGTCCAGATCCGAGAGCTCTTCGACAATTTCGTCAAGGACTGGAAGCCCAGGTTCGTGAAGGGCCAGGTGGTCGAAGGGACCGTGCTCGAGATCGACGCTGAACAGGGCAAGGTTGAGCTCTCGCTCAAGAAGGAGCCTGGGGTGGGAAGGAGGTCGAACGAGAAGAAGGCCAAGAAGCCCGATCAGATGACGGTCAATGATTTCAAGAAGGGCGACAAGGTCAAAGGTTTCATCAGGGGGATCTCCGAGTTCGGAGTCTTTGTCCAGATCGAAGGGACCGATGTCAGCGGCCTTTGCCACAAGAGCCAGATCTCAGACAACACCGAGGTGGATGCCTTGAAGGCGTTCCACATTGGCGACAGGGTCAGGGCTATCGTTATCGACGTTCAGTCCGAGAAGAAGAAGATCTCCTTCGGTTTAAAGCCTTCCTACTTTGACGCCGAAGATTTCGAGGAATCCGACGACGAGGTCGATGACGAAGGCGACGATGTGGAAGAAAAGGAGGAGGAGGATGAAGACGAGGAGGAGGATGAGATTCTTATCGAAAACGGTGAAGGTGGCGATGATGAAGACGACGATGATGAAGACGAGGACATGCTTGACGAAGAGGCCGATGGTAGCGACAGCGAAGGCGACTTCCTCGAGCTGGATGACCAAGCCTCTGTATCCGAGGAAGAGAAGGTAAAGTCCACAAAGTCTGGACCAGCCTCGTCGTCCAGCTCCAAGCCTCTCGTCCCCGCCCTCGCACTTGCTGGAGGATTCAGCTGGTCGGCACCAGAAGGCGAGGACTCCGAAGCCGAATCCGAAGCAGCCTCGTCCGACGACGAGGATGACGAGGACGAAACGGGGGCTTCGGGCCAGCAGAATAAGAAGAAGAAGAGGAGGAAGGGTAAGGGCAAGGCTCTGGAGGAGGACCTGACGGCCGATCTGGCAACAAAAGCTCCTGAATCCAACAACGACTTCGAAAGGCTCCTCCTCGGGTCGCCGAACAGCTCGTTCCTGTGGATCCAGTTCATGAGCTTCCAACTGCAACTCTCGGACGTCGAAAAGGCGAGGGATGTAGGAAGGAGGGCTCTCAAGGTCATCAGCTATAGGGAGGAGCAGGAAAAGATGAACGTCTGGATCGCTCTCCTCAACCTCGAAAACACGTACGGGACCCAGGAGAGCTTGGAATCCACATTCAAGGATGCCGTCCAGGCCAACGACGCCAAGACGATCCACCTCAAGATGATTTCGATCTACGAGAAGACCGACAAGGTCGAAGAGGCGGAAGAGCTCTTCAAGAAGACGGCCAAAAAGTTCGGCCACTCTTCCAAGGTCTGGGTGCTCTGGGGCCAATTCATGCTAAGGCACGACAGGCCCGAGGACGCCAGGAAGCTTCTTCCTCGGAGTCTCCAGAGCCTGGAAAAGAGGAAGCACGTCAAGACGATCATATCGTTCGCCCTCTCCGAGTTCAAGATGGGAGAGCCAGAGAGGGGTAGGACCATCTTTGAGGGTCTCGTCGACAGCTACTCTAAGAGGTTGGACATCTGGTGGCAGTACATTGACCAGGAGGCCAAACTTGACAACATTGCAGGCGTTAGGTGAGTCACCAGTTGAACTTTCCCAAGACTGACACACTTGGATCTTCCTCTAACCACACCTATGTGATCACTTTCTAACTTTCTCTCTCCCACTTTTCCCCTTGCAATCCTTGAACGCAACAGGTCGCTCTTTGAGAGAGTCCTGGGCTTGAAGCAATCGAGCAAGAAGGCCAAATCGGTCCTCAAAAAGTGGTTGGATTTCGAGAAGAGGAAAGGCACCAAGGAAGGTCAACAAGCCGTCCTCGACAGGGCAAGGAAGTTCGTCGAAGAGATGCAAGCCAAGCAGCAGGGTGACGACGACCACGACGCCGACGTCCATGTTGAGGACCAGCATGACGAGTGATCTGAACTGTCCTCTCCTCTCCTCCACCCACACCTGTCCACATCCCCAACCTTTCTTTTGTCATTACGTCGATTTTAGTAGAATTGTGATCCACACGCCTTTCTTACTCTCCTCTTTCACCCATGCTCCCTTTGTTGAAATCAATAGTTTTTTCACCTTTCAAAGTGACTTTCTCTGCTATCTCAAATCTGCGGGAGGGCGAAACCCTCATGCTTGGGAGTGTGGATCAATGTTTTTGAGGGGAGTGAGCTGGCGAGGTGTGTTGCATGGGGTGTTACGTGGGCAGGGAGAAAGAAAGGTCTTGTGTTGAGGCTTCAAAAGAAGTCTTAGAGTTATGTATATTATTACAATATTTTCCCTCCTGAACATCAATCCATCCCGGCTAGCTCAGTCGGTAGAGCGTCAGACTCTTAATACGAGAGCCTCCAAGTATACCTTGGGTACATCTGAATGTCGAGGGTTCGAGCCCCTCGTTGGGAGACCTTTTTTGCATGTTTTTTTGTTACGGTTTTTGAACTCTCCTTGCAACCAATAAACATTCTTGATTCTCAACCCAGCCTGACCCTTCCCTTCTTTGTCTTTTTGTCCATCTTTCCCATCTTCTCTAGTCCGGCAATTCAGCTTTGACGCCACTGACAAAGCCCAAGATCGTCACGGGATTGATTGGGGAAATTCTGCTTTTTATGTTTTCTTTCTCTCTCCTTTTTCCCTCTCCTTCTCAACAATTTCCCCATCCTCGTTCAGCTCCCCCCTTCCTTTTTTTTTCAACAGTAGTGAGAAGAAGAAAATTATCATGGGTTAAGGTAGATGGTATTCAAAAGTTATGTAAAGAAGGGATCGCCATCGTGAAGGATCGGATCGGAGGAGGATTCCCGGCACGGTTCGATTCGAGGTTGAGGACCCTCAGTTTCGGACCAACTTGGAAACGTAGGACCAAACCAAAGGAGCTAGCGGGGGGCAGGGGATGGGGAGGTTTGGATGGAAAGGGGGGGAGGGGAAGAATTTGTGTGTGTGATGATCGGAAAACAGGTGAAAAGGGGTGAGCCACCTTCTTCCCACCGACTTTTCTTGGGATCCCTAACGAGATGAACGACGAGGGAACTCACCAGAGTAGAGGAAACCGACCAGGGAGACAAAGTTCCTCAAAGTCTGTCGTGTCTGAAGCCTGGCTAGGGCTTGTTCGTGAGCCGATGGTTTTGGTGGTGGGCCTTTTCGGGGGGAGGGAGGGGGTTCGATTTTCAGGATTCAACACCCTGTAACCTGGTGACGAGGAGGGAAGGAGACGTGAAACGAAAGTGCATGGGAGAACTCACCTCCAAACATTGTTTCTTCCAGTAAGAATTGCTTTTGATCCTTTTTCTTTGATGTGTGATGGTTTCGTTCGAGATGTGCGACGTGAGGGTGGAGGGGGATGGGATGGGTGGTGGAGTGGATGTGGGCTCGAAAAGATTCTCTCTCTTTCGGAAGGCCGATTACGTAACTCGCCTTCCCCGATCCGAATCGATCTCGACAGGATTCGTGCCAGGTGGATCAATGGGACAGACTTGGTTTCCATTCCCTGCCTGCTCGATTTCCTTAGTCACCTCTATTTCTATATGGCCTTCACAAACACATGCGCATGTACATACCGCTCTTAAAAGCCAACATCTGGGAAACGAAAGGGTGAGAGAGGGAGTGGGGGAGGCACCGAACGAGCCATCGAAGCGACATGGCCAACGTTGGATTGCTGGCCAGTGACAAAAAGAAAAAGAAAAAAAGGAGGTATAGTCGGCGTGATAAGGATACGGAGGTGGGAAAGGGAAGAGAGGGGTGCTGAATAGGAGGGAGATGGGCGCCACTGCCAAAGCTGGAAAGATCTATCTGGGAAAGGAAGATAATCTATCATTGTGGTTCGTCAAGAGGAAAAGGATAGGCTGGTACGGTGTTGGCAATCTCCGAGGAGAAAATGGAGGAAAAGGCGCCGGGAGGTATCTCGGTCAAACGACATGATTCCTCTCTCTCTCCCTCTCTCTCTCTTGACGTACCCCTCGAGATTTACCCGTTGAATCTCGGACGTCATCAGATCAATCGCTTGTCCACCCGTATCTAACGAAAGCATCAACCGTCGAGGGGCTGGCATCCAAGAATCCTACAAAGAGCGACCTTGCCTCCATGTAAAGCCAGAGTTTGAGCATGGGCAACGCTTCTTTGATCCCGGCAGGGACTCCTTCGTCCGGATCCTCTCCTGAGCTTGGCGATCCCTGGTCGTGATGGATCATCCTTGAGCCTCCTTGCTTTGAGATCTGCTTTCCGAGCGATCGGAGGATGGGCAAGGCGGATTTGAAGAGCTAGATGTCGTCCCAGTCACCCAGGACAGAGGGAGGAAGAAGGGAGAAGTAGTCGATCAAGGCAGGATGATATTCGAGGAGCGTCAACGAGAGCTCCTACGTTTTTTTTTTTTTATGTTTTGTTTTAAAATCAGAAAACGAACCAGAGCCGGGGTAAAAGCATGTGTTGCGTAGAAAGAAAAAGAAGAGAATTGGGAAAGAGAGAGAGTGTGTGTATGTTTGGAAGGGAGAAGTGAGGGGAAGTCCAGGCACACAACTGCCTCAGCACTCACATCCATGTGCGGATCCAGCTGCCTTCCGATCCCCTCGAGAAGCAAGATGCTTATCACCGTGTTGACGAAATCGGCCTCCATCTTGACGTGATGACCCCTGACGGCGGAAAGGACTTCGTTGAGGACGTCGCTGATCTTGATCTTGGCCAAGCTAAAAGTCTTGCTCTTGACGCTCAAGACAAGGTCCTGCATCTTCATCGCGAAACCCTCCTCGTCGACAACCAGCTCGGGAGACCGGCACCTCTCGACCATCAACTTGCCTGCCAGCGCTCCGTTGAACTCGGCGACAGCCGAAAAGAGGTCGAGAAAGTTTCTCCGGTTCTTCGGACTCAGCTCGACTGTCAGACCAGCATCGAGGAGAACGATCTCTGGTTGGTAGCCCAAAGCGTCCAGATTCTCAAGCTCGTCCAACCACTTGTCCTGGTCGTGTCTCAGGGGGATGAGCTTGGCCAGAACCGAATCCTCAGCCTGTTCATCGGCGGTGGGAGGAGCCTTGGCCGCACCGGCCGCATAATCCGAGTCGAACTTTGACAAGATCCTGGCCGAGAGGTCGTGCAGGAGGGACTTGGTTGTGGGACGGTAGAATTTGATCATGATGTTGCCGGGATGAAGGTCCGCATGGGTAAAATTATCTATCAAAAGCATATTCTGTGGGAGGGGGGGGGGGGGGGGACGACATGAATCAGTCAAGTGTCAAGCAGGAAATACTTCGCCCGCGCGGCGGTAAAGAGTGCCGTCGGAAATTGCACAACTCACCAGGAAAGCGTCCAAACCCAAATTGGCGATGCGGTGGTCGAAGCCTGCACCTCCCATGTTGAGGAAGTGCTTCAACGGGAGGGCTTCCTCGAACTCTTCGATCAAGAGCTGCTTGGTCGAGAACTCGATCAGCGGCCGGGGGAAGCTGATGGCTCCTCGTCGCTTTTTGAAGTTCTCCTCGAATCGCTTGAGATTTTGAGCCTCGTTTCTCAGGTCCAGCTGGGAGAACATCATCTCTGAAAACACCTCGACCTCTTCCGGGAACGAGAGCCACTCGGCTCCTGGGATCAGGTTAATCAGCTTTGCGAAGAAGGACATGATCTTGATATCTCTTCCAATCGTCCTCTCCACCCTCGGGTGAAGAACTTTGATCGCCACGGCGGCGGTGGGGATGGCCGGTGGTGCCGCATCCTCGTGGTAGGTGAGCGCCAGCTTGTGCGAAAGCTTCTTGGACTCGATACCCCTCGGCGATTTGCTCTTGGCTTCCAGGTACGTGGGCGGTAAGAGGTCCGGTTTCAAGGTCGCCTTGTAGACCTGCGCAACAGCTCCGATCCCCAAGGGTTCGTGGCCAAATTCTTCAAAGATTTCCTCAAAGGGCCTCTGGAAGACCCCTTCGATGACCTTCTTCGTGTACCTAAAAGAATGAGGCTTTCCGTTCGAGTGCAACCTGCCGAGGCGTAGGCAAAGCTCGTTGGGGAAGAGGTCCTGCCTCGAACCTGCCCACTGGGCGAGCTATTCGTTCGGGCGGAGACGCGAGGGGGAATCGGGAAGAGGGCAGAGAAAGGAGCTGGTGATCAGGATAGGTCTGACATGCATAGGATGCGCATTTTTGGGAGGGGTGGTGGACTGGGGAACGGTTAGGGACTCACCTTGATAAAGGTCGGGCCGGCCCGCTCCATCTGCTTGACCAAAAACCCGTACCACCAGACGGCGCCCCACCTTTCGCCTTCCTCTTTCTTGCTCACCCTTCTGCCCCTCCTCCTTCCACCTTCCCTCCTCCTTCCGACGAAGAGCATGGGCGCGGTCAAGATGACGGGGGCAAAGAGGAGCAAGAGTACGATGAATCTCTTTGTGGTTCCCAGCGGCTCGAGGATGTAGACCCTGATGAGGCTGCCGAACCTTTGGAGTGAACGGATGAGGGTGTTGCTGTGGTACATCCTGTACTCGTCAAGCTCCTCGAGCGAAGGGGCGAAACGGTTGTAGTCGACTTTTCCGAGAAACTCGTGGTTGTCCTCGAGGCTCGGGTCGATGTCAGGCTGTATGGGATCTGAAGCCAGCTTTGAATCGAAGGGGGAGAGCGTGTACAGCGTCGCCCCTGTGGCGAGGGCAGCCAAGCCCGCGACCAGAAACTTTGCTCCGCTAGCCGAGCTGCTCCGGGAATCGGATCCGGGTCTGGATGAGGAGGAGGAGGAAGTGGAGAACGAGTGGAGTCGGTGAATGCTATGGGGTCGATGCTTGTTTGTCCGTGCGGAAAGGGAGGGTCTCCATGTCGGAGGGTCGAGCTGGTGGGAGCGAAGCGGGTGAGGGGAGTTGAGAGGACAGCGGGGAGGTCGCCTTGCACCTAGCGATAGAGGGGTGGGAATGGAAGGGAGGGATATGATGGCCTTGCCTGCCTGGCGACATGAAGTTGCCCTCTGAAGGAACATGGTCGCTTCTGCTGGAACTGGTGGCCGGGAGAGCCTGATTGGGCGGGAAGGTGAGGAAAGGAAAGGGGAGGGATTCCACTGAAGCCGAGCTTGATTTCCGCGGGGGAGGCGAACGAGCGAAATCAGCCCATGAAAAGGATGCGAGGGAGAGAGGGGGAGAGGGAGAGAGGGTAAGGGCCAGAGAGAGTGACTGGCAGCGTGTTTGGCTGATGGTGATGGTGATGGTGATGGTGATGGTGATGGTGATGGTGATGGTGATGTCGATAGCGATGGCGATGACGATGACGATGATGATGGATGTGCACTACCACTAACGTGGTTGACTTTGCGTCGAGTCTGGACAATCATGAATCACAATAATCACACTCACACATGCACACGCAACACAACGGCCCGAACTCTCAGGCTCTCTTTTTCACTTCTGGCTTCCCGGCTGTTCCTCTTTTCTATTGCTCGAGTGAGGTGAAGGAATCGTGCAT